TGGTTACCAGCTGATAAACCCTTTCATCCATTGAGAGTGACAGGAGAGGGTAGTGTATTCAAAAGCAAGAAAAGGAAGGTCACCACTACTACTACCGATCCAGAGTCATCTTCACAGGCAACTGCACCTGAGGGACCATTTGGGGTGCTAAACTCCCAGCTTACATCTATTAGGGAGTTAGTGTCACAGCTTCCGGGTGGGCCCTCATCCTCCCAGCCTGGGCCCGCGTACTTCTCCAAGGAAGACATGAGGAGTTACTTAGATGCGCAGAAAAGTCAGGCAGAGTCTCAGGAGAAGATCGCAGCATCAGTTGGCAGACTCGAGACAGCCTACGGCAACTTGGCCAAGGCGCATGCAGATCTCCAGTTAGACTTCCAGAAGGAGAAGGAGAAGAACAAGAAGAAGAGCAAATTCATGATCAAGATGCGGAGAGGCATAAAGGCCATCTTCAAATGGGGGCAGCCGGGCAAGAAGATACTAGTGGAGGCTAAAGATGATAGCGAGGAGTACTCCTTCATGTCAGACGCTGCTGGTGATGGTGATGATGATGATGAGACTGATGATGATGAAGCTACGAGTTCAGCACAGCAGTGATCATCCTTCCTCCCACAGTCTGCTAGTCTGATGCAGACCTCAGGGAGACCCTCAAACTATTTGTGTTTTATTTTGATATTATGCAGTGAGGACACTGCGATGTTGTTAGTTGGGGGTGGCGTACGTTTTATCTATACATTGCTACTTTGACTTGTTCCCTTGCCGGGTTTATTCTGTTGTATAGATATTTTGTGCCCTTGCCGGGCTTGTTTTGATATTGTGTATCATGTGCTCTTGCCGAGCGTAGTGTGAGTAGCTATATATATGTGCAAATTAGTCACTTTTGTTGTCCTATTTTAATTTTTCTTTCTTCCTTTATGTTTTCTTCATTTAATATTAGTTGTTGTTGTTAATCATTTTTTTAGTAGTTTTCATTATTTTCTTTCTTTAGTAGTATTTCCTTAGGTTTTCTTTATGCTACGGTTCTTTCCCGAGGAACATTTTGTGTTGAACCGGGTGACTTTTCCCTATGATGGGTGGCGTGACGAGTTTCTTAAGGGAATTAGTCTTATTTTGCTAGGAGGAGACTTTTAGATTATTTGGTACTAACAAAATTAGTCTCTTGTATGTGAAATGTGAATTAAGAATACCCCTCCGATTTTTGGTTTTGAATTAAAACAAGTAAATTGCATGGTGAAGAATAATTTTTGTGATAAACTTTTGGCTCTTTTAGTGACTCTTTGCCCACTAGTTTGAATAATATTGCTCTAAGTGCTCTTATTAGAAAATGAAATTGATCCGTCTTGATTAATTCATGTGCCATGTGTGTTAGTGTTTGTACAAATAAATCTTGTATTTACTTCTATCATCTAGAACTTGCCCGGTTGGTCTTTCAACGCTAATGTTAGTTATGTTTGGTTGGAGGGATGACCTTAAGTATTCTTTGTGATATTTGTAAAACCTTTTTAGCCTTTCAAGCTTACCATTGCATAAATACTATCACTAGTATCCTATTTGAGCCTTCAACCTTTTCTTTGGCCACCTCATTACAAACCTTTCCCCTTTTGTAAAATAATTCCTTCTTTTGAACCCGTCCCTCCTTGAACATTGAGAATGAGGCAAAAAGCCTAAGTTGGGGGTGTGGTGTCAAAGTGAAAATTGGTAAGGTTGTACATCATATTAAATTATTCAAGCTCCAAAAGAAAAATATGTATATAAGAAGAAGAAAAAAGAGAAATATATGTATGTATATAAATATGGAGCCTTGAAGAAAATTAGAGAGGCATTTAAGGTGGTTCTATGTTGGTAACTAGATGCCAATGAGGCTATGTGGTTTGAAAAGAAACAAAGTGCAAAAAGAAAGACAAATGTGAGTAGTGTTCAAGGAGGGTGTAGTCACTTGTATCCCAAATGCTTGTCCGACCCTTCCCTAAATCTACATTACAAGCTTAAAAAGTCCTTATGGGATCTCCAACCGAATGTTCTTGAATAGGCGATGGATTAAAATAAGGGCAAGCTTATGGCATGAGATGTTGTAACACTTAAAATTCTTTGTGAGTGTCTTTGTCAATTTGTCCCTTATGTTGCATTGTAAATATAGTGATTTTGGGACTTTCTTTCTTGTGAGGGCACATGAATTAGGATGGATTGGTGAAATTGATACACCCGGAAATGAGTAAGTTGAGCATATATAGTGGACTAGAAGCTTATTCTTGTCACTTGATTATTTTGAAATTCCCTTGCACTTCCTGAAGTTATTTTTAAATGAGGGAGTTATTCGGGAAAGATGCACATACTTGAGCCTAATTATTAGTACCAACCAAATCCATGAGTATAATGCTTAATTGGAGAATGTGATTTGAAAATGCTAGCAATATGACTTGTGCTTTAAATGGTAGAACCTCATTGAATTGTTGGTTTTGATTTGCTTGAGGACGAGCAAAAGCTTTAAGTTGGGGGTACTGATGAGTGGTGATTTTACCACTCATTTTAGCCTCTTTTCGTTAGATTTTGCATCCTTTAATGATAACATGAGGTTGTTTATAGTGTGTATTGTTCGACTTTCAGGAAAATGTTGTCATGAAGTGATTTGCGTTGAATTGAAGTCGAATTGATCAAAAATTGGTTGAAAGAGTACAAAACTCTCCAGGAATTCCGCATCTCTGGAACACAGATCGCAGAAGCGATCTCGCACCTGCGGGAAGAAGTCCGCATCTGCGGAACTGAACATTTTTTTCGGGAATCGCACCTGCGAGTCAAGAACCGCAGAAGCGGTTACGCATCTGCGCTTGAAAGACCGCATCTGCGAATCCAGCACTCAGCTTCACCTTCCGCTTCTGCGGAGCCGCACCTGCGAGTATTCTTCCGCAGGTGCAGTCAACGGGCATCAGACCTGGGCATTTTAGGCATTTCACATGTTCTCAACCTGAAACCATTTAATACACAAAACAGCTCATTTGTAGAGGGATCTTTGGCTTATTTTTAGTTCAAAACACTAGAGAGAACAAGGTTCGAAGCTAGGGTTTGCACACACACTTTGGTCTTGAAGATTTGAAGCTTTTGGTTGAGAATTTCTTACCCATTTATATTCATTTCTTCATTTTCTTGCTTTGTATTGTATATCTAAGTGTGTAGTATTTCATTCAACACTTGAATCTTGTTTATGGAAATAATCATATTTAAAGTGTGGATTAAATACCTTGTTGTGCTTATGTATTGAATGATTTTTATTCTTTTATGAAGTGAGTTATTGTTACTTTAATTATTCTTGTTCTTTAATGTTTCCAAAGGGATTAGATAACCCTAGGACTCGCCTATTAACTCCGAATTAATTTTGGGAAAGATTATTCGGGGTTAGAAAAGATTAATTAACAAGAACTTGAGCCTTTAACCCTCATTTTATAGATTCTACTTAGGGATAGAATTGAACTACTTGTAGCCATATCCGGGTGTGCTTAATCTCTTAATTATTTTAGGGATAATTCAATTAGGAAGTCTTGTTAGTCTTTGAAAGAAGTTAATATAGAATTATTACCCGTGGCTAATTAACATAAACTCGCTCATAATTGTAAAATCGTGAAATACATTGGATCGTTACTTGAGTGTAATTCCCGATGCATCCATACTTGTAGCCATTGATCATTTTACTTGCTTTCTAGGTTAGTTTACATTTCCACATTTAGGTATAAATATTTTCTCAAAACAATTCTTAGTGTTTGGCATTGCATAACAAGTGATAATTCTCTTACATTCCTAATCGCCTACATATTGTTCCCTGTGGAATTCGACCCCGACTCATAGTTGGCTAAATTATATTGCATGCGACTGTGTCCATTTACTTTTTAGTAGTAGATTTGGACGTCATCACTAACCTCAACGAGGTAGCGACGAGGCTACGGCGGGGCATATACAATATAACCTGTAACAATATATAATAAAGCAAAAAGGAAATACGGAACGAATTGGAGCAGTAACTTGCAACAAAATAAATACGGAACCCAATTATCTTGCCAGTACTCAGCTATAACCCATCCTTAAGAGAGTTACATTACTACAGGAATAAATCACAGCAGAAGAAGAATACATAAATAACAAATGATGCGGCGCGTATCCCGATCCCACCATATAACTAGTAACAGTATGAACATTCACCCTTATTACTCCTGTTGCGGCGTGCAACTCGATCCCACCAGTCCACCCTTATTTCTCCTCAATATATCACCCTCATTCCTACTGTTGCGGCGTGACACTCGATCCCACCTGTCCACCTTTATTACTCCTGTTGCGGCGCACAACCCGATTCCACCAGACAATCACATTTCACCCTTATTCCTCCTATTGCGGCATGCACCCGATCCCATGCCTTGAGGCGAATACAGAAGCCTTGAGGCAGGAGGTGATCTCATGTGACATTTTAAATTTGTCTTAAACTTAAACAACACCCATCGGAGAGTAGGAAAGTTGACATATCTACACCGGTTAATGATAGAGAAAGCGGCTACTGTAGTATAAGGATACAAAGTTGCTATTGAAAGAACCAAGGAGTAGGCAGATAAAAGTTCTCTACTAAAACATTAGGCAGAGCGAAAAAGGGAAATATGACAGAAGAAGACACTGAAAGGGTTGACCCCTCTTCCATCTCAAACGGAGAACAAAATCTCTAACTCATCTTTTGTATGATTTAAACACCATATTGGAATTCTTTTAGGTAGGTGGAATTTTGAAACTATTAATCAAACTGTATAATGAATCTGCAACATATTTAGAAACGAAAACCAAATTAAAACTCATTTATACTGAACTTAATGCATTTGTCGGTTTCTTGAGGATTAACATGGTAATGAGCTGTGCATAACTTGCGCCTCAGTGCAAATTAGAGTCGATACTTGGAAAACACAATGAATGAGATTGTGGTGGTAAGGCTTCAAATAATTCTCAAGTCAAATATGCAACATGGCACTATCTAACTTCCTGCTTTATTTGCAGTGTACAAGAAGCACCATCCTCCTTCTCTTTCAGATGAACTATGGAGACTGGAAAAGATTGGCAAGGAAGGAGCTTCCCATCGACGTTTGAGCAATGAAAGAGTCAACACAGTGAAAGATTTTCTGACTCTCCTCTATCTAGATCCTACAAGGCTTCGGAATGTGAGTTCTACTGCAACTGTCTTACATAGATAAATGGATTTAGTATACATGTTGCTTAAATGATACATCTATTTTTTTCCTTGTTGAATAGTGTAACAAGCATGACTGTGATAATGATGGACATATTTCCTAATGTTTGTGATTCTTTGGCAACCTCTGTTTCTCTTGGTTATGCTTGTTATTATTTTTCCTACCTTTGTTTCGCTTAGTGTGTTTTCTAGTTAATTGCTATACTTAGTGGATTAGCATCTTCTTTGAGCATCCTCTGTAATCCTTTAGGAGTTCGACAACAGAATTTTGCCTGTTTACACTCTGCTGACATTGCAATTTAGAAATTTGATAAATCTAGGTAAAAATACTGACGTGCTCTTGCGGTTTCAACAAGATTGACTAATCTTTTAAATCCTTTTCCTGGGAAATCTTGCAGGTTCTTGGGACAGGTATGTCCACCAAAATGTGGGAAGTCACGGTAGAACATGCTCAAACATGCTTACTTGACAAGAAAGTGTACTTGTACTACTCATCTGGATCTGTACAAAAAACTGGTGTGGTTTTTAACATCGTTGGACAAGTGATGGGGCTTCTTCCAGAGTGTCAGTTTGTTTCTGCTGATAAGTTGTCCGAAACTCAAAAGGCATGTACCTTTAATAAATAAGAATATTTGGTTTTATTGCTCTTTTTGTTTCTTCACGTACCAAGGCTTGATTCTTGATATGTTTATAGTTGGCATCGCTCCTAATAGGCAATGACTCCCATTCGTTTTACTTTTCAGGATGATGCTCGTAATTTGGTGATTTGTGCGTTCAGACACTGGGAAGAAGTAGTCTCTTTTGAGGATGAGTCTTCTCTTATGGATTGGGTTATGCAAATTTCCGCTGTTCAATTCTCCTCAAACTCATCCATGATGGGCAGTTCAGATGCCAATGACAATGTTTTAACTTCCCAGAAGATTAGCAGAACCGACTATCAGCATTTAAGTGCATCAACACTTGATATCATGCCATCCTTCTGTTCAATTGCTGGTTTCAGCAGCTTGGATGATTATGTCTTGCATGGTATAGACAACATGGATGTTAGGTTTGACCAACCGTTAAATTTTCCCGGTCAAGACGCCGACTCCTTGATGGCTGATACTGATTCTATAACTCCACCATTTTGTGAGGGTGATCATCTGCCTTTCTTCGACACTGACTATTCCCTTCCCAGTCCAAACTTTGCACCATCACCTGATCTACAGTGTGCTGTCAACAGCTTTCTTGCTCGTAGTTCAATTCTTCCCCCAGATAAAGCTCAACGAAGATGGAAGATGCTATTTAGTGTTCTAAGGTGGTTTTCAGTAAGGAGGATTGTAAACAGAAGAACCATCATATCTTGAACAGAAGTTCTCACTATGCTGAGGCAAAAGAATCTGTAGTAAATTGCTGCCCGGTGCAAAATTGTGTGCAGTAGTAGAGTCACTTAAATTTCTTGTGGACATATGTGAAATTGGGCAGTTAGCGCCAATCACTTAAACTTTTGAGTCTTGTGAATGGGTACACAGTCCTTGGCGCCAATCTGATGAAAAGTTATGTATATATTAGATCGATGTGTAGTGACAGCAGCTACCTTTGCTGCATTATTTATTTTGTGCAAGGGCATATTTCCATTTTTTTTTTTTTTTTGCGTTAAATTTTGAATGGTCAGCATTATAACAGTGAATTACTAACGACGGAGTAAATGAAAAAAGTATCGCGAAAAACTGGACGTTCCCTTGCTGACGAGCCTACATCTAAACCAGAATATTGCATGACTGACTGATCTTATCCAGCATCTTGATCTTGCCATCCTGAAGGCAAATAACTTTTTCTTGCACACAGATCTCTGGCGCTCTCTGTTTTTTCTTTTGAGTTATTATCAATTCGATAGTGTTATAAAAGAGTTCCTGGACTCTCTGTTCAGCCAAAAAAGGTACACAAGTGACATTAAAGAATAATTTCAATACCCAGAAAGAAAAAATAATAATTGCACTATTGCAGACATAACATTCAGTTGGGCAAAAAATTTCTAACAAATATCAGACGTTAACTTTTTACATGCCTATCTATCTAGTAGAATTGGTACCACCAATCATCTGGAACAATGTCTTCTATTCCATTCATTAGTGTTAGTTCCAAGAAGTTACTGTTATCTGCGTTAAGATCTGAGAAGTCACTGTTATATGTGTTAAGATCAGCTTCAGCACAATATTGCTCATGAATTCCAGGGAAGGATAATTGACCATATGCTTCTTCTTGTCGGCTCGCTGCTGTATTTGCTTCTTCTGTCATCACGTACACTCTGTTGGTGTTGGCCCCATGATTCTCCAATGTAGCTTCACCTCTGTCATAAGTGGTCAAAATTTGGCTATTTTTGTTAAGTCCTCTCAAATAGTTATCCTGTTGTTCAGCATACTCTGCCTTCATAGTCTGATCAGGTTCACGCAACATAGCTTCTATTACTTGAGCAACTTCTTGTTCCTCCATATTAACCCCATTCTTCCTATTTCTCTCTGTTATGTTCTTCTTTATTCGGCAGAGAACAATATCTTGTTTAGGAATATTGTTTATCATCCCCCACGTAATATTCTCTCATCAGCCAATTAATTTTATCTTGCTTTGATCCTTTACTACTCCTAGTTCGATAAACATAACTTTTTCTGAATCCCACAACAGTTCCCTTACTATTCTTGATAGGATCACCGCCGGTTTGGGCTTTCCATGTCCCGTTGGCGCAAGTTCGGCGAAACCTTTTATGTGATTCCTTCCGCTTCTTCAAAGGAGAAATAAAGTAGGCAATTTTCTCTTCGGGATGATCAGAAATCTCCCATGGTGGCCTGTCTCCATAGATTTCCCCAAGTCGAATAGGGCATTCACTGGGCAAAGACTCACCCTTCAAAAACTTTTTCAGAAAGTAGATCAACTCTGCATCAGTAGGGTAAAATCGAACACTGGGAAGCCGTGATACCATCGACATGACGGTCTTTGATTTGCTATTATGAATAAAGAAATTAAAACAAGAAGAAGAAAAGAATCACAAGAAAAAACAACCCTTGAATTATCGATGATCTGCTAGTGTTCTTTCAATGAGTCAGAGATTGACTCTGCTGTGAAAATACAGAGAGAACCAAGAAAATATAAATTCGCAGTGAAAACAGAGAGAGAAGAAAGAATGAATTATTACTACTATGGAAGAAGAACCTGAAAGAGTGCAGCGGCGGAAGCTAATGTTAAGGTTCTTTATAAATAAATTAGGTTTCTAAAATAAATTCACGCGAAAAGACTAATTTTTTAGGAAAGAACGGAGTTTAGGAAAAATAGGAAAGTATTTGATTTGACAGTGTATAAAGCTGGGTATTAGGAAAGAACACACGGTTGTTGCTTTTGGCGGGTAGTTTTCAGAGTATATTTTTCGGAATTACACTTGGGGACTCTAGTTATCTTACCTCTTTTTTCATATCAGAACTTATTTATTTTAAATTTTTAACTAACTTTGTCCTATCAAATACTAGGGATTTTTAAAAGTAACAATTGATTTTACAGGAAAAAAAATGAAAAATCGTTTTTTCCACTTTCATTTGCAAGTTAATTGTCTAACTCAACATTCTTTTCACAGAGAAGGAAAATCAAGTTGCTTTGTTTTTAATTTGAAGTTATTTTCAGTAAAATTAAAATTTATCATTTTATTAACTGACGAGAAAAGGAAATATAGGTTGCCACAACAATAAATGCCAAAGGTGAAAATCAGAATTTAACAATATGAATTTGTATGCTTCAAGAAACACCCTTTTCTAGGAAGTAACTTCACCCACCAGTAAAAGAGAATTATAGCCTCATTTTCTCTTGTTTGTTTACCTCCTTCGTTCTTCATCTCCCCTTTTCTGAGAGAAACTAATACTGTTATAGAAGTCACTGCAAGCCTCCATATAGAAAGAACAAAAAATGTTAATGTTTTTATAGTGTGCATATATAAATGCATATGTTTAATGTTTGTATGTTGTGTTCCATTCACCAATCAACATTGTTGTTTCACATTAAGTAATATTCAGACTGTCTGAGTATGGTTATTCACTACATGAAACCAAGGGGTGTCACTTAAGATGCCCTTATGATTAAAGCAAGCAATTAATTTACATTTGTGAAGTAGTTAACCACTATGTAGTAGTGAATGAATTGGTAGTAACGGTTTCTTTTGAATAAGAAGAAACATCAAAAAGTGACCTGTGAACAAGTAACAGGGCAACAAGCAGCCTAAAGACTAACTCTAACTTCGATCCAAAAACAAGAACTGATTCATCAGTGACTATGGCGTTCATCTTTGATCATCAGAAAAATCAGGCTCGTCAGGCTTAAAGAGTTTAGGCATACGTAAGCTGGATTCACCAGGGTCCACCCGTGCCACCTTGCCTCTTCTGGTGTTAGCAGCAAATCTTGATGCCAATATTGTAGCTCCAAGATGCTGAATACTGCTTTCTGTTGCATGATCCGAAGCATTGCCACCGTCATAACCAGCTTCTGGATATTCATGACCATAATCATCCTCTTGGTCCATCCCTCGTGAGTAGTACAGGCTTTCTTCTCTTGACAATTCCTCCGCTAGTTTTTTCCTCCGATAGCGTCTCCATGCAGCTTGTATGTAGCAAGCTCCCCATGTCCTCCATTGGTGTGAGTAGAACCGGAATGCATGCTGTAATTTCTTACTATGGAGGCGTCTGAACTGGTTTGCAACAAACTTGAGCTTTTCAGCTTTAAGTGCAAATGCTTCAACTTCTTTAAGGCATTTCACTGTTCGAGTTGAAATTGGAAGATTAACATTCGGATTAGGCACTAAGGCCCATGTTAGCAACTCTTCTCCACAAAAATCACCCTGCTTTAACGTAATGGAGTTGAAGAAGCCTGACCTTCCTCCATTAGTTGTTGAACTCTCAAGTTCACCTCTAATTATGAAAAGCATCTCATTCACCGGATCTCCTTCCCGAACAATATACGTGTCTTTCGTGTTCAATGATGAAACAAGGCATTCGCATATTGCATCTAACAGCTGATCATCCATCTGGGAGAAGAAAGGAACCTGTAAAATCCAGCAAGCATGAGGTTACTAAATAGGAGAACCATAAGAAAATCTTGGAAGTTCAAAACAGATGGTTGGTCATTTTTTTTCTTTCTTAGATGAGGTCAAGACAGATGGTTTATACAACTGAAATCAGTAGAAAAGAAGATTTTTGCTATTTATTTCACAAAAGTCGAGTCTTAAAACTAGCTATGCAGATTTCGTTAACCATGTGCTACTCTATTGTTTGGTGCAAAAGTGTGCGCAATAAAGAGAGCAAAGCTGCATATCCATAAACTGCATCGTAGAGCAATTGCCAACGCATGCTTAACAAGAGACCCACCTCAAGAATAGAAGCTCTCCACAGAAAGTTAAGCTACGAAGTATTATTAGCCAACAAAAAAGGAAGACCAAACTGCACGGCTCCGAATGATCGCAATGTTCCCCTTTGAGAAAGTACAAAACAATAATGAGACGGAAAAACTTACACGACGAACAAGAGCCAGGCAGAGGTGCCTCTGAATCTGGCGCCTTAGATCCAAGGGTAAGGAACGCAATATTTCTTCTTCCTCTACACCTCTTGTAGCTACCCATTTATACTGAACAAACCGACGAACACGATCTTGCAGATCTTCAGGCAGTTGACGGTGCCTCATCCACTCCTCTGTGTCCCTTCTTTTAACTCTCCATTGTTCAAGTCTTGCTGTCATGGATTGTAGATAGCTCTTCACAAAATACAACAGTAGAAGCAGTGTCACTTACAAATTCAACAAGATATTCATTCCCTCTGAAGTAGTTCCCACTTTGCACCCCCCATCCCCACCCCAGAGCCCCCAAAAGAAAAAGACGTATTTGATGGACATAACCTGGATCCTTTTTTGATGAACAAGTACACAAGTCACTAGCAATGAATTTGTCAAACGTTGCTCCGACAAGGCAGTTTAGGTGCCGCACCCGAGTCGACACGACACTAGTATGGGTGTGGGTATGAGATCCGTACCGGATCTGGTCAAGCAATTTTGGGTACTTTGACCACGACGGATGAAAAATTCGAGACGAGATACAATGTGATTCCCGAAATCAAAACCAAAACTAGGGTAAATTTGAATAAAATAGCATACCTTATCTAGCAAATCAAACCTTTACTTATCTATAACTTGAGGAAAAAACAAAAAAAAGAAATCCACATTTTACAAGCTACACTTAAGTATTACACCAAATTTCTCATAATTTAGAGATTTACTTTTTTCTTTTTTTGAATTATTTTTAGCCAGATCCCTGCAACTGTATCCATACTAGGATCCGTATCCCTAAATCTTAGAATATACATCTCGAAGGATCCGACCTCTATATCCGCACCCGTGTCGGACACCCGCACCCGTGTCCGAGCTACTTAGTTAATAAAATTTAAGGTCAACAGCCATAGTTGCAACCTTAACTCAAATAAGTAATTACTGTAATGCTGTACATTGGTCATCAACAAGAAAACTTCAGCTTTGTTAAGTTGTATCAAAAGATAATACTGAACAACAATGGGTACATAAACTATGTCATTGTCTACCATTTCAGAATCCTGCCACCTAGTAGTTCAAAAAGAAACTAACCACTTCCTGTACCAGATGGTCCATGGAAAACAAGAGTTGTGAGGACCGTCAAAAGTGAAAAATAAGAGCAGACTCAAACCAAAAAGTGTTCTCACTTTGAGATATCTGGAGATTAGGATAACTTCAGCAAGTTGGACACAATCATTTGCACAGATTAAACTTGGCTGTTAATTTTTCATACTTTAAGGTATGTGCATTCACAAACTTACTCAAAAGAAAAGGAGTTTCCTAACTCAAAAGAGAAGGAGCTTTCTGTGTCCATGAACTAGTCGTACAGTCCCATGGTTTAAATTCCCATTCAGAGCAATCAACCTCACACCCCCACGCTGGAGGGGAGAGAGAGAGAGCACGCACGCGTAAAGGGCTATCAGAGTAAAATACCAAGATGCTAATGCATGGTACATGGTTCGGATATAGTCAAACAAATTCTCACTAATTGATCAAGATCAGTCCACAAGAACCAAGGGACTTAATCAACGGGCTGATACTGCTTTTGTTTTATTTTATTTTGAACAAGGACTAATAATCTTTTTTAACACTATTTCTATGAAATTTACTGCAGAGTTATGTTACATGCAATGCTAACCTATATAAGTCTCCTTGTCCCATTAGCTATTTCGCTTACTTTATCAAGTTCATCACTTATTGACAACTCAATTGAAAACCAAGACTATTAAGTTTTCAGGTGTTTCATAGTGCATCTATCAAAAATCTAGGCTTCTTATATGATGTAAGATCTCTTCGTCTGACCTCTCTCTGTCCTTGTCAGGTATATTGAGAGCGTCTTTTACTAAATCTATATTTCTCCAAGGGTGGATGCATTCGTTGATTTTCCGACAAGTATGATTTCATGAAATAAGAAACTCAACATTGTCTATTTCAAGTTGTCCACTTTAAAGTCCATCTCCCAAGTTTTCCTCCTTTTAGTCAATATCCAGTAGCTTAAATTCATCAACGTACATCAGAGACTAAGCAATAGTGTAAAAGAATAAGAAGAAATGTGAATAAGAAAACACATCGTAATTTAGTTTTTCACATGAGAAAATACCTGCATGTTGCCTATCAGCAGTGCAAAGAAGACCAAACCCAGAAGACAAATAAGACTGGAAAAGAGCGTCTCAACAATGTTTATGCTTGTAGTTATACTTTGTCCATATGAACTGAAAATCAAGATATTGAAGGATCCGTTAAGCATAAATCCTAATGAAATATGGAAGAAAAAAAAACTTTTGCAATAAATATCTTGCACTTGTCACCAATATCTTTTCAGGGTGACACAAAGGAGAGTGAGTTCCAAACCTTGCCGCTACCTAATTAGCCCCAGAACCACCATTTAAGCTAAACTAGCAGGTCATGGACTTTTCTCCACATTTTCCTTCTAAATGGCCCCTTAATTCATATTACCGAGGAAAGTTAAGAGAAAAAGGAATTACCAAAGAAAGTTGCACAGTTTTTTGTGTCACAATGCCATTAAATTTTCATTTTTATTTGTTCTCAAAACAGTTAGTGCAATGCACCCACATTTTTATGCCACAGTAACATCCATCTTTCATTCAGTACATAATCAAGAAATGCTTTATAAGCTTTCCATAAAGTCCTGCAGACTAACTCATGATTGGCAGGGACAAAAATTCTTCATAAGAAAAAATCAAGAGAAAATTAAATTTAATATTCCTACTATCACAAGTTCGTATACTAGAATAAAAGATGAAATGTTTCTTGCCACATTGAAGACTCCTTTCTTTTTTCTCGCAAGGAGTAAAAATTGTGGTCCAGTACTTCAACCTGACTACATGAAGTATAAGTTGCAACTCAGATACTTAAAATTGAGTGAGAGAGAGGGCTATTATTTAACAGTCCAATATCAGAACGGATATGGAAGACCAAACCTGTTGTCTAAGCCAGGCTTCTCTTCAACGAATTATTATTATTATTATTATTATTATTATTATTATTATTATTATTATTATTATTATTATTATTTTGATAAGACAACGAATTATCTATATAATGGTCAAAAATCGTATGACTATGTTTATGTATATGACAAATATTAATCTTCAGCATGCTTGGTTTAAGTAAATGCACAACTCTGATGTTAGGTTCTGCTCCAACTTTAAAAACAAGTTTGCGAAGATGAAGAATTTGCTTTACAGTTTTCTGACAACAGTTGAAATAAATATTTTCTGAGGAGAGAGAGTTCTCAGCTGACTCACGAAGACTAGTTCCTGAACAACTTTTCAGGCCGACTTACGATCTACCCACATGTCATTTGCGAAGTATATTTCGACCACTTGATAATGATTCTATCTTCTAATTAAGAAAATTTAGAAAATAAATTAAGACAGAGAGACCACAAAGGATTTGATAACAAAGAGAATACCTTAGGCTCTTTAAACCCCACCATAGGCAGTAAAAATATCGATCAAAGATGCCAGCAGATGTAACTTCTTCAGTATTTGCATCACCAAACATTCCAAACTCAAAGCTTATATCGGCATTAGCATCGCAATTCTTGAACACCTCAGTGGTTTCCGACCACTCCTGACGCCCAGGTTTACCAAGTGATGAGCAATCAAGGTAGTCTTTATAACAAGCTGGAGCACCCTCCTGCTGCTTTTCACACTCATCCTTCCAGCATGAAAAGTGCCTCTCAATAGCCATCAGATACCATATAGCTCCTAAAACCTGCACTGACAATTCAAAAACCAGATTAATCACTGATTCAATCTCCAATGAATTAGAAAATATAGTCTGAAAGGCTGCAGGTGCAACTTTTCAATCCAGCTTAAGGAGAAAAGGCGATATTATGTTATGGGTCATAGCAATATCATAGCATTTATTATATCTAACAATGAAAAAGACGTCTTCGACATAAGAAAATTTTTGCTGCTAATTTAGTTTCTTCACTTTTTCCTCTCTTTGCTAGCGCACAATCAGCAACAACCACAATATACATCACCATAATATTTCATGCAAACTCAACTGCAATATTGTAGCTACTACCACCGAAACTATTGCAACATCTGTGACCACTAAACACCCACCTTTGTTGGTTTTCCACCCGGTTGTTGGTACCCGCTTTGGGGCCCGACTAAATCTGAATTCGCATGGAGAAACCCTACTTTGGGGGTAAAGCGCTCCCTACCAAAGCCCAAAGGCGACTACATACCCAGGGCTCGAACCTGAGATATTTGGTTAAGGACAAAGGAGTGCTTACTACTCCACCACAACTATTTGATGGTCTAACACCCACTTACTACACCAGATGGGACTCTAACCTCCTCAAGCCCTCAAACTATCCCATATTCCGACTTCCTGATTCACTGAAAGAGCAAATGTGTGTGGACATCCTGGTACCATTATCCTTCATTTACCAGCAGGACCTCTTTTAAGGCATAAATCATGGAGATATATTTCAACAGCATTGGCGGTGAGACTTAAACTTATGATATCTATCTACTTAACTTGATAATGAGTTCTATAGTTCCACATCATTTAAAAGCTTGAGTTGCTTGGGAAATATTAAATTTAAAGCTTAAGGTTTCAGAGAAGAATTTTTTTTATTTACTTATTTAATTAGGTCTGTAATAACAACCACATAAAATAATTGGCATGACAAAAAAAAGCACTACAAAGAACTGAAGCAAACCTTATTGTTGAACTACCACTGTGACATTTTCATCAGTAGCCTAAATCAGTGACTTATAGTCCAGGAGTCAAATTACAAAGTCTCGCTGCTTCGTAAGGTGAGGTATTTTCACCATCTGTTAGGTGTTGAGAAGATCCAAATCTTGAAAAGATAATGAAAAATTGCTTTTTAATTACCAATGCTATTGATTATGCTGACAAGGATTAAATATGACAATTAAAGCAAACGTGAGTCTGGAGTTTGGATAATGGATAGATAGCTTCTAATTTGTCAGTTGAGAATATCAACGTGGGGAAGAATGCATGGAATAATGGTAGGCAAAAGAGGTATCACCAAAATGTGGACTTGGAACATTACTTGTAGATACTACTTTTGTTTCTTTCAGTCAACCAATTTCCAAAGATTTTTCCTCCAGAGGACCATCACTTAAAGGCAAAAACTTTTAAAACCTGGGAGCTTTCCCAATTATATACACGGTAGAGTTAATACCAATGACATGCTATAGCTAAACCTGTTAGCGAGCTCAGCTCATATCGGCATCACATGAGTAAGGAGTGTAACAAGCCTGTACTTTGTTTACATTGCTCCTTAAAAAGGAGATATCACATAAACTATAGGTTTTGAGGAGTCCTATCATTCGTTATTTGTTTTTAAGTAATAGAGCTTTGATTTAAGGCAACAAGGGAGGGATAGTCTAATAGTAAGACGCTCCACATCCAACCATAAAGTTGGAATTCGAGTCACAATGGGGCAAAGTGGGAAAGGACCAATTGGGAATGGGCAACAAATTGCATTCAGAAAGATTAGTTCACACCTCTCAAAACTATAATTCATGCTCTGAGAATTTATAGTTGATGAATTCAAAGCCTATAGTTGCCCTTAAAATCCATATTTGGTTGAGTAATGCCCAGACCTGATTTGTGCATTCTTTATCACTGTACAGCTTTCTTCACAGCCTGGTCCTCAAACTGGAAAAGTTTACTAATTTGAGTTTAACTGACAGCTGAAAGGTGAGGGTCAATCACAAAATCTATTTGACATGTGTCCCTTCTTCATCCGTTCTAAACTTGCCACTTTTTCTAATCGGTCAACTTCCATTCACTTTCATCCACTAAAATAAGTTGATTTTTCCCCTGCCTGCTATTGTGCGCTAGTGACACCTTTAGTCTGTCCAAAATATGTTATGTCTTGTTTATGGGTTCCTAATTTAGCTAGAGGTCTATTTAATGATATCATTTCCAGATTAAAATGAGATAAGCAGAATATGGTTTATTGACTAACTTTACCTTCTCTTGTTGATTTTAGAGTTGTCAACTGAGAGGTGGCAATGACCAAAACAAGGATCTGAATTTAGGAAGGGAGGTGCCTTGTGCACTATTTTGATAAAAAAGAAAAAAATACTATCAAAGACTGCAGAACTTACATGACCTGCCAGCAAGTACAGGAGGAGATTGTATGCTGCACCAGACCAAGCTGTCTTTGCCACAACACCTGTATTCCTAATAATCTTTGAATTTAAGGGGAAAATGACTAACAATCTTGGCACATACTGAAGCATAATAATCAAAGAGATGGCATGATTAGCATGAGTGGCGGATGAGCCATTCAATGGCATTATAAACCAAATAACAATCTGCAAAACCAAAAATAAGACAAAGTTACTATTCATCATACCACCCTCAAACTAATAAACATACTTTTCCAATAAGGCATAATAACAAAATTTGATTTCAGCCTTCAAGTCCAACTATGTTGCACAATGAAAATATTTCACAAAAAGAAACGGTTGGGCGTGCGAACAAAAGTCCCACACTGGTAGCTAAAAAGAAAAGGAAGCTACAAATAAGGTGTTGGGATAATCTTAATGGTGTGAGGTCTTTTGGGAAAAAACATGCAGGTTTGGCACAAAGCAGATAGTATCACATCATATTGAGAAATATCTTTGGGTGACAATGGTTTCGGGGGACGAGTATGAAGATAGCAGAGTGATGGCAAAAGGCTCGCTTACTACCTTTTACCAATCGCAAAGGTAAGTTGGAGTACAAACACATAAGAACCTATCCTCTGGGCTTCGGTGACTACAAATACTCGAATAATGTGAGTGGCACGACATTAAATCTTCAAATAAGCCCATGAGGTAATGGGACATGTGAAAAATAGTTCGGGGGGCTTGGAGATGGACCATGTGGAACTTAATTTGAGAGGAAGATTGTTGGTGTGCGAATAAAAGCCCCACATTGGTAGCAAAAAAAAAAAAAGAAAAGTAAGCTACATATAAGGTGTGAGGCCTTTTAGAGAAAATCGCACGAGTTTGCCCTAAAGCAGACATTATCACACCGTGTTAATAATATCATTGGGCTGGCTTAGCCCAGCTCGAAACCATGGATTCATTCAAATGCTAATCAAGAAGTATAACATTAAGAACAAATTATTATGATTACACCGATGACAAAGAAACATGATATAATGTATGTAATAGACTAACTTGTGGGAGCGGGAGGGCAGCAGCAAGATCAATGGCAAAGTCGTTCTTCACGTAACGGATAGCAATCAATTTCTGATCCATCACCAGCTCACCCTTACCAAAAACCCGGGTTTTCTTGGAAACAAAAGCCGTACGGAACTTCATAATGATCTGAAACAAGGCGAAGATATCAACCAATACGCGAAAAGTTAATATGGTGTATCCCAAAACATTATCGGTGCTCATGCAGGTTTCGCGAATAATTGGAAGCAACAAAAAAAGAGGATCAACAAATAGACCGACAAAGGAAGTGAACAAGAAAATGTGGTTCCATCTGGCAACGAACTCGCCATTTGGATCGAGAATTTGTTGCCACCAGGGCTTCTGACGGTCGTAAATTAAGGAAGGTTTGGAGAAACGGTGGAGGTGGTGCTGGAGAGTGTCCATTTTTGGTTACAGAAGAAACCCTAGGACAGAAGGTCGATGATTGCCATGGAGATTTGAGTATTATCAATGGGTGGAGAAGGTAACGGAGAGCCATTACAATGGAATGCTGCATTGCGAACACGAGGAGTTGTGTCTGAGTCCCCGATATGTGCGTGCAGTTCGTTGAATCAGCGCGCCAAATCAAAACCCCCAACTCACTTAAAACAGATTAGTACTAATATCATAACGGGAAAAGGGCTAACGTATCCTCAGTTGCGGGATATTGTCTACATTTAACCTCTATTTCGACTAAATTTAGCCCTACTATTACTATCCGGCCAAATTTATCTCTATCATCAGCAAACTTTAAAATTTTCCCTCTGTCCATTAGGTGATCTAGAATCTCCCAAATTATTTAAACTAAGCCGCTTATTCTTTTTCTTGATCCACTATTTTCGAAATAATTGTCATTTACTTGCTTTCTTAATTGAAAAAATAAATAAGAGAAAAAATATTAAAAGTACAATTATTAGTAAGTAAAGTATAGTAAATTGAAGAATCTAAATTAAGTAGCTTGTCTGATTTCCAAAAGTATTTGCAACATTTCAACTTTAATGAATTCGTTGCACCAAAGATATGGAGACTTTGCAAGTATTAGTGACAGAAGTTGAAGTTACTTGGAGACTTTACATTATTGAATTCAAAGTTGCTTTAATCAAATGTCGACGCATTATGCACTCTTAAGTTAGTCAATCAAACTCTATACTAACCAAACAACAACAAAATATATTCGAATATACATGTACATATATGATGATCAACTGCATATAATATACAATAAATAAACCAACTGAATTGTACGGTGTGTATATTGTTGAAAAATAAATAAAATTTTAAATCAATTCCAAACTCATTATCACAAGAAGAGAAGTGGGTGCGTTGGCAATTAAAAATATCCATGGACAATTTGTATTGTCTAGTACCTGTAGCATTCACATCCAGTAACGGATTCAGGATTTAAAGTTATGGGTGCTAACGATACAATTTCCAAAAGAAGAGAAAAAAGAAATTTAATTGTGGGTGCTACTCTATATATTTGTATAATTGCCTATGCAAATTTACTATATATGATTAAGGGTTTGGATCAGCTCCAGTAAAGAACCCTCCAGTATTTTTCAATGGCCTCTTTGATTTTTGCCACATGTACACTTAAAATCGAAAGGTCCAAATTGCATCCGTCTTCTTTCTTGAATCTTGGATTTTCCAACATAACCAGTTACCCAATACTGAAAACTCATTTTATGCCTAAGTAATACATCTCTTTTAGGATCAAGCCACAACTGCAGTGCCAAATAGACTACTCCCTACCTCCATAGCACTTCTACCTTTGAACAAACCCGTAAATGCACGTAGGATCAAGTTAAGAGTTTAAATTTATTGTCCTTGGAAAATCCAGGAAGAGACAAATAGAAAGGTGATATTGGAAAAACGTTTTGAACTAACACATAGAGAAAACTACAATGGAGAAGCAAAGTAAAGCTTATGTAAGCAAGGGTAACTATGGGTTTAATATTCTATTAAAAACGGTTTAAGATGGTAATAGAGCAGAAAAGCGAATTTTTTCAAGCCATGGAATTATTTAAGGATTGTTTAAAGAGAGGTCTAAACGTCTCCCGCTGAGAGAGAACGGAAGCAAGAGGAGATGCAATTTGGACCTTTCGATTTTAAGTGTACACATGGCAAAAATCAAAGAGGCCATTGAAGAATACTGGACGGTTATTTACTGGAGTTGATCCAAACCCGATTAAAGGTAATGGGTGCTTAAGCACCCACAAAAGCTAATGTAGATCCGCCACTGTTCATATCAATAGTAATTTTTGAAAATAGTGGAGCAAGAAGAACAACAAGTAGTTTAATTAAAATAAAATTAGGAGATATTGAATTACTTAACAGATCAAGGAGTAATTTTTAAAAGTTTTGCGATGGTATAGGTAAATTTTGCTGAATAGTATAAGAATAGGGATAAATTTAACCGGATAATATGACATAGGTTAAATGTAAATAATATTTGAAAATAGAGGGCGTATATTTGACATTTCCCCATTATAATTTACCTAACTGATTGAAAAGCGCTAGCTAATTTTTTTCGGTCACTCAATCACTTCTTATTGACTTGCCAGGTGTCAATTTGAATATCTTATGTAACCGAAATCGATCCATAAGTTAACCTCAAAACATTGGAAAATTAACATTTACATTATGTGTCCAAGAACTATTGTTTTTCTTAGCATCTCGTTGGTTCGATAAAGTCATACTAACAAATAAGAGGGAAAAGGTCCAAAATTGATTCTGTGATTTGCATTATGGTTACTTTTATCTTCCGTTTAAAGTTGGGTTTAATTATATCCTCGCCATTACAGAACTGGCACACAATTACTCTTATTTTTCGACTTAACTACCCGAATATTACAAAATAAATAAAAAAGGTCCACAATTGCAATTGTGGATTACAATATTATCCAAACTTGTCTCTTTAATTATTTTTGTTCACGAGTTATTTTATGTTGCTTATATTCACAGCATTTGTTTGATGTGAGATATAGGCTTGCTTATAGTTAATTCAGTTTGAAAGATTTTAAATATTCCTCTATAGTGTACTATTAAAGTTTACTATTTAAATAACCTTCCTATAAGAGTCTCAAGCTCATTAATTCAAAAAAAAAAAAAAAGGTTCCATACTACTTATAAAAGGATAATTCCTCTCGGTCTTGATGTATTTTAAATTTTACTGTGATAAAAATGTTATTGTTTGCTCAAAAGTTATCACATATCTTATGAGTATAAAACAATTTAAATAAATCACGGGAAAATCATAGCAAATCGTAATACTCCATTGGACCAAGCGAAGAACATGAAAACAAGTACTCAAGGTTAGGGGGAGAAACATTAAAAGCCTTTATTGATAATATTGGTTTGGTCTGCCTCTCCATGAAGAGGTTCAGAGCCTTACAATGGTGTTTTCACTTCCCATAAGATGGGTATGTTTTTCTCTTCTCTCTTTCTCTTGTCAATAGCGGTGAAGAAGCAGCCCCCTTTCTAGGGCTTCCACTCTTAGTATTTATAGATGTGAGCTTCGTGAGCTGGCAATAAATGGCCATGGCCACGCTGAGGTTCCGTCCCCATGGGGGAATGAATGGGCCGGGTATAAGCGGGGAAGACCCGCAATTAACTTTGTAGATAAATGAGATCTCCTTTCCGTTATTTGCCTTGTGTCTGTTTTGTATTCTCCTCTTTTTCCCCTTTAGATTTTTCTTTGCATGCGCTCGAAGGGGTGATTTGCCTTCGAGTTCGACTCTGGTAGGCATGTTAGTTTTTAATTGTTGACGACTCTTCTTCTTCGACTCGGGGTGAGCGAGTCGGAGCCGTTGCTTGGCGATAGCGGCACTTAGCCTTAGTCCCAGTTCGGGCGCGGTCGAACTGTCGGCCGTTATGGTAAAAAACGCGGCCTCGTAGTTTGACCGGGGCCGAACTTTACGTGGCCCGACTCTTAATTCGAGTTGGGAGAACTTACTTGTATGGCGAGGGTGTCTATCCTGCGCTTCGATTTGTTGGAGGTCGGGCTTTGCTTTAACAAATGAAGGCGTTTGGCCTGAGTCTCGGTTCAACTGTGGTTGAACTTGCTAAAGTTGAGTACGAAGGCGTCCATCCTTGTAGTTCGAGCGAGGTCGAGCTCGTTGGATTTAATGGCGAAGGCACATAGCCTGAGTCTTGGTTCGACCGTGGTTGGACTTATTGGCGAAGGCACATAGCCGGAGTCCCGGTTCTTGGTGAAGGCGCATAGCCTGAATCTTGGTTCAACCGTAGTTGAACTTACTGGGGTAAGG